AAGCTGAGCTTTCTTCAGTAGAAACTACTGAGGAGCTGGAAAACATTTGACCTGCATTGCTGCGGGAGCTTCCATAGCTGCAGAGCCATGAAATGGGTAAAGTCTCAATCAGCCTGTCTGAGGAAACACTGTGTGTGCTCCTGGGAAGCTGAACCCTGGGGACTTTAAGACCCAGGGAATTTCTCCTCCCTTGCCTGATTGCTGCTGGTGTCCTTCCCAGTTCAGGCTAGGCACATATTCAAGATGCAAGTGCACGTATGTGCGTGCGCGCGCACACACACACGTGCAAGCATGCATGACACTAATGTGGCTGGCCACACAGACCAACCCAGAGACAGCTGTGCCTTTACTAGCACCCATAGAAACAACAACATCACTCCCATCAGCAAGCTCGCTCCTTTTCCTCTTCTCTGGCTGACCAAGTCTGAAGATCACTAGTGAAAACATGCACACCCCTTCCCTCTGTGCACAAGCACATCACACTAACAGTCCCTCAGATGTTATCATGGGCTCTAAGTCTATTATCCATACCAAGACCTCAAGACCTTTACCTAGCCACCAGCTCAGACCTTGGGTCTTTCCAGATATGTCTCCTCCCACTCTCTGGCTGGTTCCGTTTGAAGCTCCCTGGCGAATTACGAATACACACACACGCATGCACATATGCAGGATTAGATTAATTAATTAGGATTAATTAGAGAAAAACACACACAGTTTTTGGGCTTTCTAGTTACTGGTATCCAGAACTGCAGGCCCCTGTGACTCATGCCCCCTTCTCGGGAAGCCCAGCGAGACACACGTGAGCCCATGCAGAGCCAGCCTGGTTATGCGGGAATGCATTTGCAAGGGCTTGCACAGATGATGTTTCTACCTCACCCTTGGGAAGCCATAGAAGAAGCTAGTACCAAGTGCTTTGCTCTTATTGCTGTTTAGGTGGTTGATTAGTCCTCTCTCCTCAGCCTCCAACAGCTCCCTGACACTGCTGAGCTCCAGAGAGCTTCACATGCACATGTACATGGCCACTGCTCCTGCATGGAAGCAGAGAGCGTTCAAGCCAGGTCACGCCTCTTCTTTCTATGTGAGTTATGTGCAGGAGAGATGACTCCTTGGCTTTCTCCTCTGTCAGAATCGCTGCTGCAACTGGGTGAAGGCGTGAGCATCAGGGGGATGAATCCTAGACACTGTTCTTGTTGCATCTCTAAACAGCCTTTTCTGTATTCTCTAAAGACTCTCCAGGAGCCTGGTTATGAGGAGAAGATGCATCTGGAAAAGGGCAGCACAGCAGGATAAACTCTGCCAAGTCTAAAATTAAACTTAAGAGGGCTTAAGAGATCAGTTATACAAGTTACCCCAAAATAACTTAGAATAAATCCTAAGAGGAACAGTGAAAGCACTGCTGACATCTTCAGTGCCCAGCGAGATGCATGTCTGCATGTTGAAGTATGAATGTGGTCTATAAATACCACCAGTGGTTACCATTGAAAATGGAGGAGGGTTTTCCAGTGGTCCAGCAACAGGGACAATGAAGGGAGGTGTTCTTCATCAGGAACTGCTTGTGCAGTTCCTACCACAACCTTTAGTGGTAAGCCAGGCACAATCCAGATATCAGCCGTTGAAAGCGAAGTGACCTCCCTCCAGGCTTTCCTCTGTCTCCAACCTACAGTCGTTCTTTGTGCTATGGCTCCAAAAGGCCTTTTTCTGCACACCAGCATTTTCTGTCCATATTATTTAAACCGGAGGGCTCAGCCACAGCCAGGTCTCCTGGGAGAGATGGTGTTCCGGGCAAGCTAATTTGTGGAGGACAAGGATGCACGTTTCTCCAATAACTTGTGATCACACTCTCTACATCTGTCCTGCAGACAAGGCACCTACAGCCAAACACTACGGTACCATTCGCTTCCTCAGCACCCAGGCATTTCAAAAAGGCTTTGTACCTTACCATGTATCTGAAAGGCACTGTGTATCATCTCCAGCTCTCAGAACAGCCTGTGCAGTTTCTGTATGTTGTGGTTTAACCTCAGTTGGCAACTGAGCGCCACACAGCTGCTCGCTCACTTCCCTCCCCCCCGGTGGGATGGGGGAGAGAATTGGAAGAGCACAAGTGAGAAAAACTCGTGGGTTGAGATAAAAACAGTTTAATAATTGAAATAAAATGATAATAATAATAATAATAATGTAATAATGATGATTATGATGATAATGATGGTGATGATGATGATAATACACAAAGTGATGCACAGTGCAATTGCTCACCACCCGCCGACCGATGCCCAGCCAGTCCCGAGCAGCGGCCCCCCCCAGCCAGCTTCCCCCAGTTTATGTACTGAGCGTGACGTCCCATGGTATGGAATGTCCCTTGGGCCATTTTGGCTGTGCCCCCTCCCAGCTTCTTGTGCCCCTCCAGCCTTCTCAGTCGGTAGAGCATGGGAAGCTGAAAAGTCCTTGGCTAGTGTAAGCATTACCTAGCAACAACTAAAACATGGGTGCCTTATCAACTTTGTTCTCATCCTAAATCCAAAACACAGCACTGTACCAGCTACTAGGAAGGAAATTAACTCTATCCCTGCCGAAACCAGGACACTGTAGTAGCAAATACCATTCCCCTTTGCTTGTCTCGGGATTACATGCTAGAGAGTCAGGTATTTGTTAAAGGTTTCCTTACTGGAAAGGAAAATGGCTTATATGGCTTCAGATTCACTGCAACCACAGATGAGAGATGTCTCAGTGCTAGCCAGTTAGCTTGAAGTCAGGTTAAGATAAAACTGCAATAGAAGTAATGGCTTACATCTGAAAAAATGCCCACAAAAACCAAACCAAAACCACAGATCCATATGGCTAGAATGAAAAATCCTGCTTAATCTGCTTATATCAAGTTCAAATCTAAGGATCACTCTCCCTATATTCCCTTGAATTTATGTCACTGCATTCCTGACACACCTCATGCCCTAAAACTCAGAGTCTCTGGATGAGAATGCTTCCTACTTACAGCAAGTATCTTTTATAGTCCAGTTATTTATCTCTATTTCTTGGTGAGGGGCCTAAAGTACACCATGTGTGAAAAGAAGTTGAGGGAGATGGGCTTGTTCATGTCCCTGCAAATAAAGGAAGGATGACTACAAAGATGACATTGCAGCTAGAGCAGTTCAGGTTGGGCATAAGGAAACACTTCTCCAGAAGGGTGGTGCAGCCCAGGGACCAGACTAGGGGGAGAAACTCCATCCTTGGAGTCTCTAAAGAATGGGTACCATCATCCTTGAAGTATTTCAAGATTTGGCTGGGCAAAGTCACAGCTGACCCGATCAGGCATCAGTGATAGTCCTGCTCTGAACATGAGGCTGGACAACAGACCTGCAGGGTCCCGCCAACACAACGCTTCTGGGATGCTGTGATTTCTGTGATCCACCAGGTATCTTTCAGTCTGTCTGCACCAAAAATTAATAACTTAGTCATCTGACATTCCTTCTGTTTGGATACGGACTGCCCTACGTACCTTTTTGGAAACAGAGGTGGTGCTTTGATAAGTCAAGTGTCACTTCCTTTTCTTGACTGTCCTCTTGACAGTGCCTGGATTCACAGAGTAGAAGTTCTTCCCTATGCCATGGAGATATTGAAACGTTCATTTCAATGTCAGGTGAACCTTTTCTTTTATAGCAACTTATACATAGACAAACAGTCTGCAGACTATGTACACGACATTTTTTAGCACATTTAGCATAGGTTTTAAAAACCGCAAAAAATAAATAAATGTGGTAATAATAGCATTATAATAATAGATTGTTATTTCAGCACAGCTATGATTTGAATGGTTACATTTATCTCAATCCCGCCAACAAAGACACCAGAAAGATTAACGTTTTATATTGGTTTGTACATATAATTAATTACAACTAAGAAAAAAATTACACAGTGACTTCAACATCACTACAGCATTTCACTGTTTATTCTTTTTTAATGGTTCACATTTCCTAAACCAGTCTTTTGACTGTGCAATTAAAATTGAGCAAAACTAATAAAAAAACCTCCTTCCTGAAGCTGTCTTTGCCTCAATTAAAGTCTTAAAGGGCAAAATGGATTCTTCTCCATTACCTCTGGCAGGCATGCTGTGCTCTGATTCCTCGAGGCAGGCAGGCTATTGATCACCTTGGAACATAGCATGTTGAAGGATACACATATGCTTGGTGGGTGGATGCACCTAGAGCAGAGGAATTATTTTGTAATCTCTGATTGCCTGAAGAATTAAAAAGAAAGGTCAAAACAGCCACCCTTAAGATACATTTCCTGCTCAGAAGCAATATGCTTCTCAAGAATGTCTGCAAAAATGGAGGTGGAGTCCTAAAGAGAGAAAATTTAATTTACAATGATAAACATGCAGCAGCCACAAAGCAGAGGGAGTGGCACAGGGCTGTGATGGTCATAGCAAGGCATTTGCCTGCTTTTTTAACATTTTTTTTTAAATGCTACGCAATTGCTCAGCTTGCTTTGTGCTTCAGGTTTTGTCTGTCCTAGTCACATGTGTCATATCTATCCGTTGAGACATCTGTACCCATGGCAATGCTTCCTGGCACTGGGAGGTTCGGTCAGAGCCTGGTGGGGCACAGGCATTGTCCTGACGACGAGAAGAAGGAGGGCAAAGTGTTGGTGACAGAGGCCTGTGCCCTCCCAGTGCTACTCCATCTGGAGTGCAACACTGTTCCCGGCCTCGGAAAAGAGCATCACTGACCAAACAGGGACCCAACCATCAGAGAAAACAATTTTCTTCACTACCTGTATTTCATACTCCTGACCAAGGGACTGTAATCCTAAGGGAGAGCCCAGCCTTGTGAGTGTTGTGGTTTTGGTTCAGGCTGGAGGCACAGGTAAATGTCTGCTCTCTGTGTGAGACAACTTAGTCGTCCTGTAGAGTCTCAGGTGGGAGCAATGGCAGGAACACCGGTCAGAAAGAGGAGGCAGAGGAAAACCAATCAACTTCTGTCTCCTAAAATAATCCTTTTCTTTTAAAGGTGAAAAATGTCGAAGTTTTATTGACCTTGCCCCGGCTTCTGAAAAAGGTAAGACAATACAGTCAAGGCTTCTTCCCATTTTACAAATTGCATCAGTATTGTTTCTTGTCATACTTCAGTGCCAGGGGAAACATTACTTCCTAAGCACACAAGGACCTACATGTCATCCGGATTGCATAGATGCAGGTGAAACAAATGCCAAGGGTTTAAGACAGCTGTTTACTCAGTTTATGCAGATCTGTCATTTCTCTGATGCATTTTCTCTTCATTCAGCTGAATTTTTTTCAAGAAAATAAAGATTTATATTGTAATACAGACATTTTCCTTCTTCCTCTGCTGAGGAAGGACATGCTACATGGTTTCCTCAGGCCATGAAGTCATTTATGGTCAGAAAACTGCAGTCACAGTATCAAATGTCTCTTTGTGAGAGGGAATCATGTAGATGCTTGTTTGTTTGATTTACCCTCGGAAAAAAAATATATTCAAGTGCACAGAAAGAGGCAGGCCGCAAAGGTTTTCTTTATCCTGATACTGGAGTTGTAAATTCTCAATAGCAATTTAACCCATATTTCAAAATAGTATTTATCAGTGAAAAAATGGGTAGAGTTCAATTAACAAACTGGGCAGCTGAGCCCATCCTGCTCCCTGCTCAAGACAGAGCTCTCTGCCCACAGCTGAAGAGGTGCACGAGCCTCGCAGTGTCCTTCACACTAACAATGGGCTTCTGGAGGATCCAAAGGACAGATGAAAATTCATGCTTGTACAAAGAAGCGCTATATTTTGTTGGATCACTTGAGGCAATCACAAAACCTTTTGGGCATACGGTACCTTCATCAGGTCTGACAGAGAGGCAGTAAGTGGTGTAAGGAACAATTGTTCTTAGATTGTCTGAATTGTTGATCAGCTGGACAAATTGAAAGAGAAGGGCAATTACCATTAATAAAGCAGTGGGGTATTTCAGTGAGAGAAGTAGTAACAGAGACAGTCTCTGTGAAATTCATTGTAAGTAAACCTAAATAAATTATGCACATAAGGGAAGAACTATCCTGGGAAATACTGCCACTAATGTGCTCTGAGTTGAATCTTACACACACAAATGGGACCTTGGGGCATAACTGTTCTTATGAAACCACAAGCTCAATACTCAGCAGCGGTCAAAAACAATCTACCTGTTAGAAAGCATTAGGAAAGGACTTCAGAACAGAGCAGAGACTATCCTGTTGCATGAGGACTGTATATATCTGAGTGCTTCGACTTACATAAAATACAGTGTGGTATTTTGTCCTTTTTAGTCCAGCTCACAGAATGGCAGCAAGGATAATCAGAGTTCTGGAAGGTTCTGTACAAGGACAAGACTAAGACTCTTCAGCCCAAAGGAGAGACAAGTGAGAGGAGATATATGGACATTGATAAAGATGTAAGAGGAACTGAAAAGGCAACCTGGGGAATGGTAGTTCACTGCCTTTCCCAGTACAAGGACTAGTGGGCATTGCATGACACCTTCAGGAGACAGACTCAAAACAAGCACATCGTGTCTGTTATAAAGGCAATGGGATGTTTTTGTGCTTTATCCATTTTCTGTGAAAGTTCATAATGGTGCATAATGCTTGGTTGCATCACCCACGCACTTTCCAAAACAGCATTTAGTGCTTTACTTTAAGTATTTCTTTGGGTTGTGTGAAACGCTGTCAGCAATTTTTTTTAAATTGAATTTTAGAGTTGCTGCACGATGTCAGTGTATATTTCTAGACTATTCTATTTTTCCTTTTTGAGGAAGGAAGGGTCTTTTGGTGTAGGGGTATAAAGAAACATAACTATTTCTGAAGTCTTGCCATGGAGTTGTAAGGCATATTGACAGAAAGAGAGGGGAATACTCAGTCAGAGACGGAAAGTGCTGACCATCTGACTCATAAACAACTGTAGATCAAGTTGGACACTGCAACATAGTTAATCTGAATGTTTCACCATCAGTCTTCTGCTGTCCAGAGGTACTTTCATCACAAGTGAAGAGAAAATTGTGTGTCAACGATGCCCAACTTACTTTTGCTGCAGAATTCAACTTCTTGACTTCTTTTCTTCTCTTTTCCAGATAGAAGGAACTTCCTACTCCTTTAATTTCTTCATTCTCTCACTCAGCATTGACTTTAATGGTCATGGGCTTGTCAACTACTCAGTTACACCTGGTGCTGGGACAGATTCTTGATTCTTCTTCCAAGTAAATGAGATATGATAAAATGCATTGAATATAAAAAGTGGAGCTCCGTTATACAAATATATTGCGGTTTTCATAGTCCATTGTGTAACTGGGAATTTTTGGACTAAACTTATCTGTGCAATGAGACTTCAGCTTATTCAGTTTCTGTACCCATTCTTAGCATCACTTACCACTAAAACGTGGTTGTTCAAGGTTTCGATTATCTAAAACGTCTCATGTGTACATGCTCTGTTACTGCAACTGAGCACTCAGGCTTTCTAAAGTTTTCTTTTCAGTTGGTTTTCCTGGATTCAAAGAAGACCTCTATCTAACCAATTTCTAAGCTAAATACAGGCTGTTGAAATACCCCTGAGCACATCACCTTCCACTTCGAAGGCATGCTAAAAGGAAGCCTAAGAACAAACTTAGTCTAGTTGTGTAGCCAGTCTCTTCTACAGTCCCTCACCAGTTAACAGCAAGTCAGTATAAAATCTCTGCATAATATTTAAAACCTTCTTAGCATAGAAAAGCTAATCACTGAAACATTCACACTAAAATAAACCAGCTATGGTAGGGCCTAGCTACATTTTTACCACAAATCTTGCATTCGTAAATGAAAATGTTTCTTACTCTTACTGTAAAAAAGTAATACCTTAAGCTTGAGCTTCCTATCTTTAATCCATTTGTGCTGATCTCTAGTGTAGCTGGATACTATATTTCTGATCAGCTATCATACCCTTTCCATATACCGCACTAATGGCATCTACTAAAAGGAGGCAGCAAAATTTGGGGCAAACAGACCCACAGTGTGGTATAAATAAGCATTTCCAACCCACACTACGAGAGCTCTTCCCTGCATTTAAGGCAGCTGCCAACAATCTGTCAGAGCCTTGTAAGCCTAACATTGAATTTATTACCTATTGCTGGTTGTTAGTGCCAAATCTGCTTAACAAAATCAGCTTGGTGATGGTAGATAATAATTAGAAAAAAAAAAACTTCTGTGTCCACAAATATTTCTTATGACAGTTTCTGTTCACTATTGATAAAGGATGATAGGGCAATACCTGGTTACGTTGGTCAGGACTTTTAAATGGCTCTTACAGAGCAGATGTTTTTGGGTCCCATGAAGTGTGCTATTTTCTAATTTTCATTGCAGATGTGAGTAGTAAGATAGCAAGTATTTCCAAAAGGAGTTGGAAGGAAACTGCCACAGTAGGCTGGACCTGATCTTTCAGTTCTGAATTGCTCCTGGGATCTTCTCCACAAAACTTAATCCAAAA